TCTTTTCCCTTCTCGAGCTCTCTTATGCTTGGCTTGAGAAGGATGTGGGAGTGTTGAGTGAAGGGCCTTCGTCTGGGGCGCTGTCTTCGGCAGCTAGGGCATCGGCTGCACTGTTGAAGCTCTTTGCGCCCCTCCTGAAGGAAGCGATGTCTCTGTTTTTTGCTTCTCGCCTCGCGTGCCGTCAGGCTGTGCTCGCCCTCTCTTTGGAATCCACTTGGGCCCTGGCTCTTAGGTTTTCGTCTCCGTGTTGTCTGTTGCTGTTTGCAGAGACTGAGGTCTCTCAGTTTCTGCAAGCGGCTTTGTCCAGTTGTCGTCCTATGGCGGACTTGTTGGTTCTCCGAAGCAGTCGTTCTTGGCAGTTTCGGAGGGGTCGTGCCAGGGTTCCGGGTTCTGCTGGTCGAGGTGGGCCATTGGTGTCAGTTTCTGAGCTGTTGTTCCCTTCGGGGCCAGCGTCGTCTGGTCGGTGCAGTGATCGCCCTGTTCGACGGTTGGGTTCTTGTAAGGTGCGTCGGCCCTTTCGCGGTTTGCCCCGTTGACGGGGCGATGGGGGGGAGGCTCGCTCTGTTTGCCCACGCTTGGTCCCACGATTAGTGGGCCTTTTTGTTCGTGTCATCCGGCCTGCGGTGGCGTTGGGCGACTCGTCCTCCTTTGGGGGGTTTGGGGCTAACAGGGCAGGCTTCTTCTCCTGCGCTTCGTCAAGTCGTCTTGGAGTGGGTGCGCTTGGGCGTGGTCGAAATGGCTACGTCCCTCAGGTGGGTTTCCCGTCTGTTTCCAGTGCCAAAACGGGACTGTGCGGATCTGAGGTTCATTCTGGACTTGTCCCGTCTGAACCCCTGGATTCCTTGCCCCTCCTTTCGGATGACTACTCTGTCTCAGGTCCGGCTTCTGTTGGAGCCGGGTGCCTGGATGGCACCCGGCAAAATGGGAAACAGTATGGAAATACCTTATTGAGAAAAACGAGCTTATAATGGATGACGTCATTATACATTAGGCTTGACAGAAGGTGGCCTTTTAATCCCCCCTTTAGTATAAATATTGAAAATGGGAATAAATACACTATAACAGAAAACGGACTTATTCAGGGAAGATGAAGACTGGCTAGCTGATGACGTCATTGACCATTAGCGATGCCTTGTGCATAGGTCACTGGGACAACGAAAAATACACGACTCATAGACCGTGCGTCAATGGGTCACTGGAGCATCGAAAAATACATGACTCATAGACCGTGCATCAATGGGTCACTGGGGCATCGAAAAATGCACGACTCATAGACCGTGTGCCAGAAAAAGCAAAACGCACGGTCTATGAGTCGTTTCCCACTACTACGTTTCCCTGGACCTCAAGGACGCGTACTGGCACGTTCCTATTCATCCGGGGTTCAGGGACTGGTTAGGTTTCGTGGTGGGGCGTCACGCTTACCGTTTTCGATTCCTACCTTTTGGCTTGAATCTGGCACCTCGCATTTTCATGCCTCTGACCCGGGTTGTGGTGACCCGTCTGCGTCTTCTAGGGATTCGGGTTTTGGCCTACCTTGACGACTGGCTGGTCTGGGCTCCCAGTCGGTCAGCTTGTCTGCTCACCAGGGATATGGTTCTTTCCCAGCTCGCCAGGTTCGGGTTCCTGGTGAACTAGAGGAAGTCCCATCTGGTTCCGTCCCAGGTTCGGACCTGGCTGGGTCTTGTTTGGGACTCTCGGACCGCTTCCTTGTCTCTCCCTCCAGAGGCGTTGCGGCGGCTGCGGGACCACCGTCAGCTGTTTCTGAGGGGGTCCCGGGTCACTCGGCGGTTGCTCGAGCGGTTGTGCGGGAATCTGAACTTTGCCGTGCTAGTCTACCCGCCGGGTCGGGTTTGGCTTCGGCGTCTGTTTTGGTTCCTTCGGGGACGTCCTTTCCGCCTCTCTCGCGATCGTTGGGTTCGTCCTCCGGGGGTCTTATGTCGGTTGCTGCGTCACCGGCTTCCTCATCGGGCTTTTCGGGGTTCGGTGCCTTGGCTCCTTCCCGAGCCCTCGCTCGATATGTTTACGGATGCGTCGTCTCTCGGCTGGGGCTTTGTGACCAGTGCTCACCAGGCAGACCAGGGACGGTGGTGTCTGTCCTTCCATCGGGCTCACAGCACGGTTCGGGAGTTCGCGGCTGTCTGGTTCGCGCTTCGGAGGATTCGGGTCGCTCGGGGATCGACCATTCGCCTCCATTCGGACTGTTCTCCAGTGGTTCGTTGCCTGAACCACGGGGGTTCTCTTTGGTCCTTGGCTCTTTGGGGTTGGTCCCTTTGAGTGGTTCGTCTGCTAGATTCTCAGTGATTGGCTCTCCGTGCGGTTCACGTCCGGGGAGTGTCCAACGGTCTGGTGGACGGTCTGTCTTGCTTCCTTCCCCTGTCCACAGAGTGGACGGTCGACGACGACTCATTTCGTTGGATCTGCCAGACGTACGGTCTCCCAGATGTGGACCTCTTCGCGTCGGCGTGGTCTCGGCGTCTCCCAATATATGTGACGCCCTTCGCCGACTGCGAAGCGTTCGCGGTGGATGCCTTTTGGCAGGAGTGGTCGAGGTGAGGTTACCTGTACCTCTTTCCTCCGGTCCAGCTGTTGCTTCGGGTTCTGGTTCGGTTGGAGACATTCCCAGGGAGAGTAGTCCTCGTGGCCCCTTGGTGGCCAGCCCAGCCTTGGTTTCCGGTGCTTTTGGCTCGGTGCCGAACCTGGGACGTTTCCCGTGGCTCCGTCTTTCAGCAGGGTGGTCCGATCTGGTACGGGGCTGGTTCAACCTTCTCCTCTGCTCTTCGCGTCTGGTCTTTTTGACGTGGGTGTATCACCATTTCTACGGTGATCAGGTGGCTTCTTTGATGCTGTCCCACCTGAGAGCTTCGTCTCGGTGACAGAATGAAGTTTCCTGTCATTCTTTTCGCCATTTTCTGGCTCTTCGTAGGTTGTCTTTTCTTTCGGATCAGGTTGTTTTGTCCTTTCTTGGCTTTTTCAGGACCGTCATATGATGCCTAATACTGTTGCCTCGTATCGTGAGGCGCTGGCGGAGCCGCTCAAGCTTGCTTTCGGGGTGGACGTCACATCTGCCCCGTTTCGTAAGCTTTCCCGTGCTATGTTTCACCTCCGGCCTGCTCATGCGCCTCCTGAGTCGTCCTGGTCCTTGGACAGGGTGCTCTCCTATCTTTCCTCTCCTCGGTTTGTGGTGACCCCTTCGGTTCCTTATTGTTTTTCCAAGGCTTTGTTTTTTGTTGGCATTGGCCTCTGGGGGCTGGGTAGGGGAGCTTCATGCTCTCCTCCAGTGCAGGGGTTTCTGCTCTATTGGTCCTGGGGGTAGGTTTGTCCGTTTGCAGCCTTCTCCATGATTGTGCCATAGGCACAATCAGAGAACACTGTATAAACATCAGAGGTCCGCGGTTGTTCAACGTCCTCCCAGCAAGCATAAGAAATATTGCCGGAACAACCGTGGACATTTTCAAGAGGAAACTAGATTTATTCCTCCAAGGAGTGCCAGACCAACCGGGCTGTGGTGGGTATGTGGGCCTGCGGGCCGCTCCAAGCAACAGCCTGGTGGACCAAACTCTCACAAGTCAAGCCTGGCCTCGGGCCGGGTTTGGGGAGTAGAAGAACTCCCAGAACCCCATCAACCAGGTATCAACCAACCAGGTATCCATCTTTTCTGGCGAAGAACGAGATGGCTGCTTTCCGGAGGGGTCCATGGGTCATTGATGCTTGGTTGGTTCGGCCGGGGGTGCATCATGTGTTGTGTCCAGTTGCAGCACTTCGCCGTTACCTGCGCGCTTCAGCCGGGGTGGCTGGGGATGCGCTTTGGGTTGACCCAGTTTCCCTCGTTCCCTGTTCCAGGGCTCGGGTCTCCCAGGTTGTCCGCAGGGTTATTAATTCTAGCCAGCCTGCGGTCTATCCTCGCGCCCATGACGTTAGGAAGTTTGCGGCTTTGGCTGCCGTGTTTGGTAATATGTCTCGGGCACATATTCGGGCGTGTGGATTTTGGAAGTCGAACAGGGTCCTGGCCGCCCGTTATTTGGTGAACGTCCCTGCTCCTCGTCGTTCTTGTGTTGCTTTGGGTCGCAGGTTGCAGCCAGTTGTCTCGACTTCATGTTGAGGAGATTGTGGCCGCCGCCTCCTGGGTAAGTCCCCTTTTTCCTTCTCTTTGGGTATGTAGCTCCAGGGAGCCGTAGGGGCTCCCCACAGAAAACCAGCGTTAAATGTAATGAAACGCCATTTTCTGGGTGAGCCCCGAAGGCTCCCTGGCTACCCTCCCTCTCATCCGGTCAGCGGGATTTTTCGCGTTGGTTGAAGCCTAGTTTCCGAACTGAAGGCAGCCGGCGTGGTGAGGTCTGGGGGTCCCCCCTCCCCCTCCCGGGGAGGGGAGGGCTGCGCGGACGACCGGCGTGGCAGTAAATTGATTGTTTGATTGTTTTCCTTGGGATTGTAGGGAGTTTTCTACCTTTCTGTTCGGTTTTTGTTGTAGTTTCTTACCATGTGGGGTTTGTTTTGTTACGCCTACCTTTCTGGGTGCCTAACCCCAGTCGATGGCAGATAAGGAAAACCCCCAACCATATGGGGTTTTCCAGGGCCATTGCTCCCTGAAACCTCTCTGAAGGGGCCAGGTTCTGACGCTGGTCCCTGGTAGGTCTGAACTCCATAGCTTATGTCTCGGTCTAACATAACATACATTAGCCCGATAAGCTCCAGGGAGCCTCCGGGGCTCACCCAGAAAATGGTGTTTCATTACGTTCAACGCTGTTTTTTTACTCTTGTTAGTTAGCTTCAGGCAGCCACTGGGATTTTCCATGCTGCTCTCATCTTCTCCAGTCAAATAATGTTACTATTCAATGACAGAGGTAAATGTGAACTGCTTATGATGGGGGATATGGAGCTCATGAGTGTTATTCCCAAAATACTGTATTGGAGAAAGGATTGTTTTAAATTATAGAAAGGTAGCTTGAAGACACATATGGTACTTCATTCAGTTTACTGTACTTTTAACCTTTCCATTTCAGATGGAGAAAATGTGCGTGTGAGCTATTTTGCTGCATCCAAGACAGCCGTCCCCAGTGTCGTCCCGTGCACTAATTATTCTTTATCCTTTACCACAACTGGAATTGGTCTCTCCTATTTTGAGGGTAGGTTGTACAGAATCATATTATTTGCCTTTCTCTGAGCTTTCCCCAATTACTGCTGCCGCACTACATCTTTAAAGATGTAAGAGTCTTTAACAACCGTGCTGCTTCGCGTTTATTGTGAAATTCCCCCGGTGCGCATGAAATAAAGTGTTCCCCAAAAATTATTTTTTCTTCAAAAATGATAAATTCCTTTCCCTGAACATGTCTATGTAAAAATAAATACCAAATTCCACTTACTTTGGCTGTAGGGACGTGGACAGGGTGCGCTCTGACATCATCAGGGCCTGGTCACCCGTGCGTGAGTCGCCTAGACACGGTCGTGCGGACCATTCAAGCACCAGGTGTTGCCACAAATATATTTTAAATTATTTGTTTTTTGTATTTCCAGTGCGGTTTTATTTGTTTTTTTTTTATCGTATATGATGCACATTTGTGTCCTTTACAATATGTATACAGTAGAATGTTCATAATGTTCCATGGAACTGTGATACATGTGTCAGTATTGTGTCCACAATAAATGTTTATTGTCGCAATATTACCTGTTAAAAATTCACTAAAATTACAATATGTACAGTTTCACACACTATTTACACAGTAACACACTGTATTACACACTCAGTACTTCTGAAGTGAGTAATAATCAACGCAGTAGTCCATGGTACACAGCGCGACTTCACTCTCAGTGCACCAGGTACAGATAAATTTTCGCTTCCTGTTTCTGCATTCTGTGTGCTTGCAAATAACGCACTCACGTACACCCTTGGCTTTAGTACTTGTAGGTTGTATGTAGCCAAACTTGTAAAGCATAAGGTAGTATTGAAAAGATTATAGGAAAAGATCAATTTGTAAGGTAGTCTTGAAAAGATCGCTTTGTATGGTCCCACACAGGAAGAGATTCAGCTAGCCTCAAAGAGTGTCTGTCAGTTAGGAAGAGATTCAGGTATTCTTGAAAATATCTGTGGAAAACACCACCATGGAAGCCGCTAACACTGTTCATCTATGCTACTTGTATGAGATGCATCATCACTGAACCCAGAAAACGATTCATCAGTTTATCATCTAAATAAATTTGAGATAGCATAGGATTGCAAGGGTGACGCTCAGAGCTACAACTGGATACGCTCGCTGTATCGTCCCCATAGGTGCTGTATCACTTGCATCCGACCTTTGTGTTAGGTCCTTATTGCGCCTAGCTTCACCAATATTATGACCCTTATGTTCTTCAAACAATAAGGTTTGAATTTCACTGACAGAGCGTTATCTTTCAACACCGCATCGGACAGGTGTTTGGGAGCCAGAGGCGCGTGTGCCACCCATGGTTGCTCATTCAGTACTAACCCAGCCAGCAGCCCTTGGGCATTCTGGGAATTTTTTCCAAGATGGCTACCTCTCACTGGAGGTCCTAAGAGTCCATTTTGTACACAACCAACCTCGTACACATTTATAATTGGTACCGAAAAATAAAAAAAAGAGTTTTCTCAGTTGGCGCAGTTTCACGCTGACTGAGAATACTCGGTTGGCGCAGTTATTAAGTTGTTAACAGAGTCCATTGAAGAGGCTTGTCAACAGTGAGGTAGATGAAGCTTCAGCACACATACCACAAGCAATCTTTCAAATGTTCATGCAAGATATTGAAGGTGCTAGAGAGACACTGCAAAATATTCAGTCCAGCTCGAAATAACTGTCATAAAGTTCATTAAAAAAAATTAATACAATACATCAAAGTCTTCGACACCTACCCTCCCTCCCACACCTACCCCCTTCTCTTCCACACCTACCCCCTTCCCTTCCACACCTACCCCCCTTCCCTTCCACACCTACCCCCTTCCCTTCCACACCTACCCCCTTCCCTTCCACACCTACCCCCTTCCCTTCCACACCTACCCCCTTCCCTTCCACACCTACCCCCTTCCCTTCCACACCTATCCCCTTCCCTTCCACACCTACCCCCTTCCCTTCCACACCTACTCCCTCCCTTCCACACCTAACTCCCTTCCCTTCCACACCTAACCCCCTTCCCTTCCACACCTAACCCCCTTCCCTTCCACACCTACCCCCATGTGGAAGGTTAAAGGGTTCCCCCTTCCCCCTCCCGGGGAGGGGAAGTTGCGCAGACAGCGGTGCGGCGACATGATGACTTCATGTTTGTTTGGGAAGTTCTGTCCACTCGTTCAGCTTTCGGTAGCAACAGTTTCACCAGAATAGGGGTTTGTTTTGGGGTGCCTATCTGGATGCCAGATCCAGTTGATGGCAGACATAAAATGCTCCCAACCACACGGGGGTTTCTATGGGCCATTGCTCCTCATACCTCTCTTGAGAGGGGTGCTCAGAGCTACAACTGGATATGCTCGCTGTATCGTCCTCATCGGTGCTGTATCACTTGCATCCAACCCTTGTGTTAGGTCCTTATTGTGCCTAGCTTCATCAATATCATGGCCCTTTTGTTCTTCAAACAATAAGGTCTGAATTTCACTGATGTAGAGCGATCTTTCAACACCGCGTCTGACAGATGTCAGGCTAGGGCTCCCTTCCCTAGGTGCCTTGTAAGTACTTCCCTTGGGGCCACCTTCCACAAGTTCGTTAGGTTCTGACTCTGCTAGGCTGTTTCCTGCTCGGTTTTTGGACGCCCTTTGTGTGCTGGGGTGTTTTGTCTCCCTTTGTTTACCTTAGGGTAAGGGGCAGTTTGCACTGGTATGGGGCGCAGGGTACTGTGCCCCATACCAGTGCACCAATGGTTTTCACCATTCAAAGTGGCCGGCTCTGTTCCGCCTGGGTACGCTGTCCTCTTGCGGGGTTTTCTTTTTCTTTTTGTTTTCCTGCCTGTCTTGGTTGCCCCCCTGAGTACGGTTCCTGGGTACTAAATTCTCTTCAGGTTGTACCCCCTGCTAGGTCCCCATGAGTGTACACGTCTCAGGGTTCAGCTTTTAGTGTCGTTTGGTAGTTTGGGCGATGGTTAACAGTACCCTGCCTGGGCTTCCCTGAGCATGAGTTCCATCTCAGGATCCTGGGAATCCCCTAGGGGACGCATGGGCCCGATGGATGTGGGCCCCGAGTCCTCCCTCGCTTTGTGTGAGTTCAAGGGTTGCTCTGTCCCCTTGTCTCAGGGTGACTCTCACTGTCTTTGCCTCCGTCACGCTGCCTGCTGGGTCGGAGATACCTTCGACCCAGAGTCCTGCGAGTTTTGTTGCTTGCTGGTGACTCAGTTTACCCAGTCTAGTGAACGGGTACAGGCAGCGCAAGTGTTGCATGTTAGGTTTAGGTTGTTGGAACGTGCTAGGTTGGTTGCTATGCCGGATGCCCCGGGGCTGACCCGTTTTGCTTATAGGGACCCAGACTTGGGGGTGATGGTCACTTCAGCTTTGGTTTTGTCTGCACCCCCGTATCCTTTCCCTCCTGTGATTCGGTCTAGCCAAGCCGCTTCCGGCTCCAAAACGTCTGAGGGTTTCCGGGTCTGAGCAGAGTTTAGATGGTCTTGAGACTCGGGCAATCTCGGGGGGATGCCCCTTTCGGTGTGGCGACAGAGGCATTCTAGTCTGCTCTCCCTGCCGAAGACTCTGGGTCTGACCAGTGGGCCCCCTTCCGTCCGGCTTTTATGGCTGCGCCGACCTTTTCTTTTGAGGCTGGTGCTTTGGGAGATGACTCGGCCCCGGGTCCGGATGCGAAGGATTCCAGGGCTGGGGAGGGGCTGACTTGGGCCCCGTTGGACCCCGCCTGGTTTTTCAGCCCTCAGAGCGGGGCTGACTGTTACAAGGAGAGGGGGTTTTCCTTCCCCCCCTCTGCATACGAGTTGGATTTGGTGTCTGCCCCTCCTCAGGTTCTGTTCCGTGTTCCCTTGGGTACTTCGGTCCCGTCTTTCCGGAGGTTTTCGGCTTCCCGCATCCAACCTGGTATGGTGCGTGCGGCCTTTGCTGCATGACTCCGATTACGCTTCAATTATGAATCCGTCTATATTCTGGTTTGGGTCTTCATTTTCCTACTGGATCCAGTATGAGGTTCCGGAGTTGTCCTGACTGGCGGACTGTCCTGTTTTTGGTTTGGAGGCGTGGCATTCCTTCTGTCGTTTCCACACACTTGAGTGGAGTGAGGCATTGATGGTGGTCCAGGTGTTTTTGGGGGGCGAGTTTGAGCACCTCAATGAGTGCTTGTTTGCTTCTGCCCTTCCTCGGGATGTATGCATTGTGCAGCTCCATGTGCAGATTCCTTCCTTTCGGTTGCACAGATTGCTGAGGACTTGCGTGCTCAGGGCCTTTTGTCTTCGGCTTTGTGCTTCTTTTCCCTCTTTGAGCTGTCTTCGGACTGGCTTGGGGAGGATGCGGAGGCACTTGGGGCCGTTCCTGGGTCCGGTGCCTTGAGCTCAGCGGCTTGCTCGTTGTCTGCCTTGTTGAAGCTGTTTACTCCGATCCTGGGCGATGCGGTGTTGCTGTTTTATACCTCCGGCTCGTGTTGGCAGGCGATACTTGTTTCCTCCCTTGGAATTTGCCTGGGCCGTGGCTCTTAGGTTGTCTTCGCCCTTCTGCCCCTTGCTGTTTGCAGATTCTGCTGTGGCGCAGTATCTGCAGGCGGCTTCGGCTAGTTGTCGCCTAATGTCTGATTTGTTGGTTCTCCGGGGGTCCCAGGACAGGCCTTCTCGGAGGGGTTGTGCCAGGGCTTCGGGTTTCGCTCGTCGGGGTAGGCCACTGGTGCCAGTTTCGGGGCCGGTATCTCCTTCAGAACCACCACCGTCTGATCGGTGCAGTGTTCGCTCTGTGCGGGGCTCGGGTTCTCGTATGGGGCGCCGGCCCTTTCGCGGTTTGTCTCATTGACGGGGCGATGGAGGGAGGCTTGCTCTGTTCGCTCATGCCTGGTCTCACGATTTGTGGGCTTATCGGATCGTCTCCGACAGTCTGCAGTGGCATTGGGCGGCTCCTCCTCCTTCGGGGGGCTTGGGGCTGATGGGGCAGGCCTCTTCCCCTGCGCTCTGTTAGGTCATCTTGGAGTAGGTTTGCTTGGCTGTGGTTGAA